AGATCGCGCCACTGCACTCCAGCCTGGGCGACAGAGCGGGACTCCGTCTCAAAACAACAACAACAAAAAAATACAAAAATTAGCTGGGTGTGGTGGTGCACGCCTGTAATCTCAGCTACTCAGGAGGCTGAGGCAGGAGAATCCTTTGAACCAGGGAGGCAGAGGTTGCAGTGAGCCAAGATTGCGCCACTGCACTGCAGCCTGGGTGACAGAGGGAGACTCCATCTCAAAATAAATAAATAAATAAAATAAATTATGCAGTCTCAGGTATGGCTTTATAACAATGCAAAAATTGGCTAACAGTCTACCCCTAATCCAGCCCCCTAATGCTACCACCAGAGTGCTCTTTCTAAAATGCAAATTGAGTCATTTTTCCTTCTGCTTTCAATCCTTCAGTGGTTCCCCATTGCTCTTAAGTCCAAACTCCTGTCCATGGCCCCCAAGCTTTCTCATGGTCTGGCCCTGGCCTGTCTCTCTAGACTAATCTCTGACTCCTCCCTGCCTCATACTTCACGCTTCAAACTAAGTTGCTTTCGGTCCTCCATACAGTTCTGCTGCCTACCTCAGTCTTTTTCCTCAAGCTGCCTTCTCTTTGAATGGCCTTCCTGACCCCTCCTGCCTAACTTCTCGTACTACAGCAAGACCTACTCCTACACTGCCCACGTCACCAAAAGCCATTTAAGGTGTCCCTGCCTAGGACACCCACAATACCCTGCACATAACAAGTCATGTGTTATTTTCACATGTTCATCTCCCCAGCCAGAATTATGCTTAAGACAGCATCTCTGTTTTGCTCATGTTTTTCTAGCTTAAGTGCTTAGCATACACTAAGTGCTTAAAATCTGTTGAAAGAGGACTCCATTTCCAAGTCTTCAATGTAGCTACCTGGTACTGGGCACATCACAGCATGCCAGACACTCTGCAGAGCGATGTACACACATTCCCTGGTGTGTTGCTTACAGCTTCCCTTGCGGGGAGTCACTATTGTTCTCTCTATTCAGGGGGGCTTTAGAGAGAGGCAAAGTGACTGGACTGAGCACTCTGGCTAGAGCAAACGAGGCTCCACTCTTTTCTGCCTGTGTGGACTTGGACAAGTCAAACCTGTGCTGTCAGAAGTGTGCAGAGATGACTGTATCACTCCCTCTATTCACTCCTTTCTCCTTTGTAACAGAACCCTATTTTTTTCTTTTTTTTTTTTTGAGATGGAGTCTTGCTCTGTTGCCCAGGCTGGAGTGCAATGGCACCATCCCACCTCACTGCAACCTCCGCCTCCAGGATTCAAACAATTCTACCTCAGCCTCCCGAGTATCTGGGATTACAGGCACGCACCACCATGCCTGGCTAATTTTTGTATTTTTAGTAGAGACGGGATTTCGCCATGTTGACCAGGCTGGTCTCAAACTCCTGACCTCAGGTGATCCACCCACCTCAGCCTCCGAAAATGCTGGGATTACAGGCATGAGCCACCTTGCCTATCCAAGAACCCCTGTTTTATTTGGGCTGGCAATGTGCCGAGATAACAGACCACATGTTTTCAGCCTCCTTTACAGTTAATGTGGCCCATGTGACACAGTCCTATGGAATTTCCAGAAGTCTTCAAATGAAATGTGGACCAGGTGACTGGAGCTCCAGCAGCCACGTTGGGCCATGAGGTGTTCTTGAGGATGTAGCCAGGATTGAAAATGGCAGTGCAGGCCGGGCGCGGTGGCTCACGCCTATAATCCCCGCACTTCGGGAGGCCGAGGCGGGCGGATCACAAGGTCAGGAAATCGAGAGACCATCTTGGCTAACATGGTGAAACCCCTTCTCTACTAAAAATACAAAAACTTAGCCGGGCTTGGTGGCAGGTGCCTGTAGTCACAGCTACTCAGGGGAGGCTGAGGCAGGAGAATGGCATGAACCGGGGAGGCGGAGCTTGCAGTGAGCTGAGATCGCTCCACTGCACTCCAGCCTGGGTGACAGGGCAAGACTCCGTCTCAAAAAAAAAAAAAAAGAAAATGGCAGTGCAGAAAGATAGGAGCCTAAGTTCTGGATAACACTGAAAGCCATATCAGCCATGATCTACCCACCTCCAGGCTTTTTTTTTTTTTTTTTAATGTGTTGGTAAAATAAACTATCTTGTTAAGCCACAGTAGTAGGGCCCTGTTAATACCAGCCAAACCTGATCCATGGGGTAGGAATCTTACCCCTCTTGATCCCAGTGACTCAGAGAAGTGGCAGCCAGCATGGGTGATAGAAAGTGTTTCTTTATTTGAATGTCATTCCACCTGCACTGAAGCTCAAACCCAGCAGCAGCAGAAGGGGTCAGGACCAAAATAAATGTTACCAAATTAGACAATGAACAGCGAGGACACACTCAGACAGAACTTACTAATGGGGTGTAGACAACACCAAGCTATCCTAACAGCACACAGCACAGGCCCTCGGAGGCCTGCCTGTCAGAGCTCTGCGGAAGGCTCCCTTGTTCCCTGTTCAGGAAACTCCAGTCCCACCCAAAGGTTAGCCGTGAGCCAGGCAGGGGCCTGCAGAAGTTTCTGGTGCTGGGAAGATCCCAGCTTCTCCAAAGGCAGGATTTCCCTTTCTCAGTTCACACTGGAAGCTGGAGAAGGGTTATTCCCTGCATGCCCAAGCAGGACGCTCAAAAGGCCAGGGACTCTCCCCACAGCCTTATCTAAAAGTTCTCATCATCTTGGCTATCGCAGGCCTTGAAAAGGATCTTGATTCTTTGGTCCTCACCCCCTCAGGAAAGTTTTCCTCCATGGGTACCTGTCCTCAAAGCCGAAAATTTTCATAGCCCCAGTTCCCAGAAGGACTCAACTGACCAGCGCTGTGGGCCAGGGACTGAACCACCCCTAGGCTGTGGCTGCCATGGCCTCTCCTGAGTCCCCAGATCAGGCAGAGAAAATCGGGCAGTGGTAGACCCCTGATCCGGTCACAGTTGGGGGGGTACTTCTCTTGGGAGCTGAAGCCAGAAGGCTCTAGGTTGGAGCCCAAAAAGGCCCTCCTGGGGTCAGAAACAGGCACTGATCTCTTCTGCTTATCTCCTCCTGAAGGCTAAAGCCAGATTGCCTGACGATAGCAGAGGCAAACCACAAAGCCCCCTTCCCATGATGTCTTTATTGCCCCAGGAGAGCCATCAGGGCCTCACCTGGGACCCCCCACTGGAGCACCTGCCACCCACCCCATCCACACCTCTGCAGAACCCAGGGCCCCGGTCTATGGTTTGGTCCCCACTCTGACTTCTACCCCTTGCCTGTGTCACCCTGGGGTTCCCGCAGACTTCAGCCCACACAACTCTGCCTTCCTGACCCCAGACTCCCTGGTGCATCTCCCCCTGGCTCTGCCAAGATGGCAGCTGGCCAGGTGCGGTGGCATGGGAATGTTGCCAGGCTACCCCACCAGGGAACTGGCCTCCCTCTTCTCCATCCAGCGCTGACCCCCTCCTAAGTCAGCTAGACCCCCTCTGCCCTCTGAAGTGGCTTCCCTCACTCCACGCCTCCCCAAAAGGATGTGGCCTTGGCTGCCTGTGCCCCGGGCCTCCAGCCTCTGAGGGGTCAGTTCTAACCCCCTCACCAGGGCACAGGTTTGCTGGGTGTCCTTGGGGAACAAGGTGTAGCAAGGACACCTGGTAGCAGGCATCCTTGAGGGAATAAGCTCTCCCCTCACCCAGTGCCCAGACAGAAACACCCTCCTCACTGCCCCACATCCTGACTCCTTCATCCTCCTCTCCCTCCTCTGCATCCCATTCTTGCTCCCTAACCCACATCTCCATTTACCTCTTCCCCGCTCCTGAGTCCTTTTTCCGCCTTTCCGTCCATTTCCCCTCCCCGACCCCAAGCTCTCCCGCAGCCTCTCAGCTGGTCTCTCATCTCTCTGCCTCTGCCCCTGTCTCTCTCGATCTCTTCTCCTCGAGCTCTCTCTCTCTGTGCCTCTCCGTCCCCCTCGCTCCTTCTCCAATCGTCTCTCATCTCCCTGTCTCTGCACCCCTCCTCTCCGCACCCCAGTGTCTTCCCCCATTCCCAGTCGCTTGCTCGGCCCCTCCCCTCACTCTCTCCTAGCTCTGCTCTTCCCCTCCAATGCCGGGCTTTGGTTTGCATATTTGAGGAACTCCCTCCTACCCCCACTCCCTCCCACGGGGCTCCCACACCCTCCCGCATTTAACCCGGACCCTCTGTCCCGCAGCACCCCTACCCCAGGCCGACTGGACTGCCCAGGAAGGCTCTGCAGGGGAAGGGAAGCCCAGCGCTGGGACCAGAGCACTGCGGGGAGGCGTTTGCCCAGGAGGAGTAAGTGGAGGAGTGGGGTTGGGACTTGGTAAGTTACACGTGGCAGGAACCCCCCAGGCCCCAGCATCTGATTCCAGCTGGGTCCAGAGTGGGGAGGCAGGGGACTTCTAGGGTCTTTCTTGGAAACCCTCTCAGGTCCAAGTCTTGTGGAAATGAACACAAAGTTGGCAAACACATGGCGCTCAAGTGACCTTCTCCCCTCCTCCAAGGTCCAAGGCAGCTTACACCAGCATCCTGCAGGGCACTGCCCCTTCCCTGTGGGTCCAGGCCACGAGGAGGGGGCGCTGGACGAAGCTGGTCTGCACCGGCAACTAGTGCTGAGGGGAGCTGTCCAGGCCCCAGGGCAGGGAGGCTCCCCGGGCGAGATGGCTCTGCTGCCAGACCCATAGGGGAATGAGGGGTGTTCAAAACATACCAGGAGTCTCCCTCACCTGCTCCCTGCCAAGGGGAAGGGAGTCGCTCCCACAGTGGGAGGAGGGGGGAGAAACTTCTCACCTGCCCCCCTAATACACACACACTCTCACACGCGCACACACGCACACACATTTCACTCATACACATACACTCATGCCTCGGCTCCAAGCACTGCCCACAGGTGCAGACCCTGGGCATATCGCAAGGCGAGAGGTGGGCCAGGAGGACAAAGAGGCTGGGACAGGATAACAAGGCCTAGGAGAGGGGACAGGGGTACCCTGTTCAGAGATGACCTGCAAGTTCAAGTTATGCAGAAAAGTATCAAAGAGACAAGACAGTCTCTGCCCTTGGTAGATGCCTGGGGTGTGGAGGGCATGAGAAGGGGCAGAAGGGGTAATGCATCCCCCAACTCCCCACCTCTGGGGTTCCCTCCATACCCCCCAACCCTGACAACAGGGCCAAGAAGTCTGTGCTGTACAAAACAGGCCAGGGTCAAGGGTCCAGTCATTGGTGAGACATCCCAGCAGAGAAGAGGCCTGGGCAAAACAGGCCAAGGTCAAGGGCTCAGTCGTCGGTGAGATGTTCCAGCAGAAAGGAAGAGGAGGCCAGGCCAGCCCGGGCTGAGCAGCTTCTAAGTTCCAACTGCCGAGGCCACTTGCCCCCTCCAGCTGCCTCCAGAGCCTGAAGGTCTTTTCTGACTCTGGGCTGATCAGGGAACCGGTCTGCAGCTGACAGCAAGGCCCTGTGCGGTCCCTCGGTGCAGCTCTCCCTCTTCGTGAGCTGGAAGCAGGCTGGAATGGGGCAGAGGAGGTCCCAGGGGAGACTGGTGGCACCTGGAGCTTTGTGGCAGATGTGGTGGAACCAACATCAGCCAAAAAAAAAAAAAAAAGTAGGAAAGAGTCCAGCCCACCCTGGGGCAGTATCTAGAATAAATTTCTTGAGGAGGCAGGGACCAGAAGAGGTGTGGATACAGCCAGGCGGCAGCCCTCCAGACTGAGGGGGCCTGGGGAGCTGGAACTATAGCTCTGCTCTCCCTGGGGATCTGCAGGGACCTCCAGGCCAGTCTAGAGAGGAGAGGAGAAGCCCAAGGGCCTGGGTGGATGCAGGCTCCCTTAGGTCAAATTTAGGGAGGAGCAAGAATTAGACCCTCCGAAGGTCTGGAGGGCCTCTCCTCTCCCCCAGGCCACATCCAGGCTTTCCTCTCCTCAAAGCCTGGAGCTCGCAGGGTAGTCAGTGAGAAGTGAGTCTGAGATCAGGGTCTTCCCTCAGAGCTTGAATGGAGTGACGAGAGGGCAGGAGGCAGGACAAGCTGAGGTCAGGCCAATTCCTGGACTGTGATCCTGGCCTTTCAGGGTCCCTGTGAGTGAGCCACGGGGCAGGGAAGGACTCCCCATCCAGAGACATCACCCCCGGGCCGCAACACGGAGCTTACTGTAGAGCCCACAAAATCTAAGAGAGAGAGAGAGGGAGAGAGAATTAGAGAAATCAGAGGCTGCCTGGGCATTCGGGCTTTCCTTACACATTCCCTAGGGCAAAAGTGAGCAGAGGGGCCGGGCGCAGTGGTTCACGCCTGTAATCCCAGCACTTTGGGAGGCTGAGGCGGGTGGATCACTTGAGGTCAGGAGTTCAAGACCAGCCTGATCAACACGGCAAAACCCTGTCTCTACCAAAAATAGAAAAAATTAGCCGGGCATAGTGGTGCATGCCTGTAATTCCAGCTACTAGGGAGGCTGAGGCAGGAGAATCGCTTGAACCCAGGAGGCAGAGATTGCAGTGAGCCAAAATTGCACCACTGCACTCCAGCTTGGGCAAAAAGTGTGAAACTCCATCTCAAAAACAAATAAACAAACAAACTAAAAAATATCAGAGGGGCCAACTGTACAAGGGCTGAAATCCCAGCCTCACCTGACCAGCAGGATGGCCATGAGCAAGCCATTTAATGTCTCTGAGCCCCGATTTTCTCATCTGCAAAATGAGGATCATAGCCTACCTCACAGGGTAATTCCGAAGGGTCAAAAAGAGACAAATAATGACAGCCAAGGACTTGGCAGTGTTTGGTCATAGAATATGCTGGAAATGGAAGCTATTTATTTATTTATTTTTTCTTTGGTTCCAGAGGTCTTCTTTTTTAAAAATATATATATATTTCCTTTTAATAGCAACTGGGTTTTGTTACATCGCCCAGGCTGGGCTTGAACTTGTGGGCTCAAGCGATCCTCCTGCCTCGGCCTGTAGCTGGGACCACAGGTGCGCGCCATGGCTCTTGGCTCGGAGGTCTTTGGGTTAAAACTGAAGTGGGAGGCTCACTCATCTTGAACTCCCAGTGAGGGATGGAGGTTCCCTGGACACTGAAGGGAGGAAAAGTGGGGCTCCTTTACATCGATTTTTAACACTAAGTTGTTAAGGGGCTTTGGGAAGGGAGGAGAGGGACACTGAGGGGGCCCACTTCACGTCAGTCACATCCTCACACCCCTTCTTGATAAAGGCCAGATCTCAGTCTTAGTCTTGCACTTCTAGAAGCTGCCGCCAGAGGGCAGGCCTTGACTTCACACCAAGACCACAGAAATCCCGGGGTCTGAGGGACTGCGTCAGTTATTTAGAACCTGCCTCTGAATACAGGTTAGCAGGTCAGCTTCCCAGGAGAGCTCCCAAAGCCATGCAGGAAATCTCTGGCCTCAGCAGGTTGAGACAGACAGCGTGACAAGGGGGAGAAGCTTGGGCTTTGCACTTGGACTTGGGTTCAGATTCTGCCTTCACCACTTAAGTGACTTTGGGCAAGTTACTGGAGCTCTGGAATTCTCTAAACGTGGCCTTTTTTCTTTATTGTATTTTAATGCCACTTGATGTATATGAAAGTTTATATGCAATACACTAATTATAAAGCATACAATGTGCCAGGTAAGGTGGCTCACACCTGTAATCTCAGCACTTTGGGAGGCCAAGGCGGAAGGATTGCTTGAAGCCAGGAGTTCAAGACCAGCCTGGGCAACATGGGGAAACCTCGTCTCTACAAAAAATACAAAAATTAGTCAGGCGTGATGGCGCATGCCTGTAGTCCCAGCCACTCAGGAGGCTGAGGCAGGAGAATTGCTTAAGCCCAGGAGTTTGAGGCTGCAGTGAACTATGATTACACCACTGCACTCCAGCCTGAGCAACAGAGTGAGACCCCCCTCCCCCAATCTCTTAAAAAAAATACAATAGTAAGCACTGATGAGCTCACCATTCAATAACTATAACTCAGCCAGGTGTGGTGGCTCATGCCTATAATCTCAACACTTTGGGAGGCTGAGGCAGGCAGATCACTTGAGGCCAGGAGTTCGAGACCAGCCTGGCCAACATGGTGAAACCCCATCTCTACTAAAAATACAACAGTTAGCCAGGTATGGTGGCAGGTGCCTGTAATCCCAGGTACTCAAGAGCAAGAGGCTGAGGCACGAGGATCACTTGAACCCGGGAGCTGGAGGTTGTAGCGAGCCCAAGACTCTGTCTCAAGACAAAAAAAAAAGAAAAAAAAAGGACTCTAACTCTACCAGTAATTTGCATATACCTCCATGCTCCATCTCATATACTTCACTTCCTCCCCTTCCATCATAACCACAGATGACCGTCATCCTACCTTTCATATTTATTATTTCTTTGCTTTTTTAAGAAAAATACTGCCACAGCCGGGCGCGGTGGCTCACTCCTGTAATCCCAGCATTTTGCGAGGCTGAAGTGGGCAGATCATGAGGTCAGAAGATGGAGACCACCCTGGCTAACACAATGAAACCCCATCTCTACTAAAAATACAGAAAATTAGCCGGGCATGGTGGTGGGCGCCTGTAGTCCCAGCTACTTGGGAGGCTGAGGCAGGAGAATGGCGTGAACCTGGGAGGCAGAGCTTGCAGTGAGCTGAGATCGTGCCACTGCACTCCAGCCTGGGTGACAGAGTGAGACTTCGTCTCAAAAAAAAAAAAAAAATACTGCCACAAGTACATGTGTGTTTAAACAATACATTGCTTAGTTTTGCTTAGTTTCGAGCTCAATAAATATATCACTCTGTCATCTTCTGGAACTTGTTTTTATTTCCCCTCTCTCAATATTATATTGCTGAGATACGTCCACTGTGGTACATATAACTGAAGTGTGACATTTTCACAGCTGTGAGCTGCTCTGTGATGTGAGCATGCCACATGTATTTATCCGGCCTCCTGTCCATGGCCATTCGACTGTATATAGTTGTTTGCTACAGTGAAGCTGCAGCCACCAGCGCCTTTGCATGCTTCTCATGGGTTTGTACCCGAGGTGGGTTTGCTGGGTCATAGGCAAATGATCAGATCTGAGGGAGAACATCAAATCATTTTAAAGGTGGTTGTACTGTCAGTCGGGTTTCTTTTTTTCTTTTCTTTCTTTCTTTTCTTTCTTTTTTTTTTTTCTGAGATAGCCTCTCTCTCTGTCATCCAGGCTGGAGTGCAGTGGCACAATCACAGCTCACTGCAGCCTCAACCTTCTCAGGCTCAGGTCATCCTCCCATCTCAGCCTCCTGAGTAGCTGGGACCACAGGTGCTCGCCACCACACCCAGCTAGTGTTTTGTATTTTTTTAGGGAGGGGATTTCACCATGTTGGCCAGGCTGCTCTTGAACTCCTGGGCTCAAGCGATCTACCTGCCTTGGCTTCCCGAAGTGCTGGGATTACACGTGTGAGCCACCACGCCCAGCCAGGGTTTCCAATTCATGCAACCCTTTTACTCCTTTTATTTGAAATTATCCTGCCTCCCAGGAGCAGGCCTGGCTCCTGCCACTGCCCCCCAGCCCACAGCACACTCGCCTTTGTTCTCTGGCTTGAGCTCCTCCTGCAGCAGGTCTGTTTGCCGGTTGCCCAGCACAAAGGCGAGGAAGGAGAGGATGAGGGCGTTGAGGATGCCGATGATGGCCAGGATGTATGCCCAGCGCACTGAACAGTCCCCCAGGGAGTACTTCCCTGTCTTGGCCCCGCACATGTCCCGGATGGTTTCGGCGTCCCAGCCATCAGGAAAGATCATGCAGCCCAGGACGAGGCACAGAGCTGAGGGGCAGAGCACCGGGCCCACCACCACGGTCAGGAAGGAAGAGAAAAGATCATTACTCCCTAGTGTCTGCAGTCCGGGCCCCACCCTATTGCGGGCAAGTCAATCCAACCACATGCTTGTTACCCACTTCCAGAGAGGGAGAGAGGGCAGGGGCAGGGAAAAGAGAGAGAGAGAAAGAGGTCTAGGACGGGTAGCAGAAACTTTCTGGAACCTGCAATGCCCTCTCCCTTCCCCATCAGATGAACTCCAGGAAGCCTTCTGGGAATATGAGAACATAACCACCCACAGCCACCTCCTTCAACTTCCCCTAGCATCGGGACCAACTCCCTCTCCCATCTCTCCCATCCTCATTATTATTTATTTATTTATTTATTTATTTATTTATTTATTTATTTTTTGAGGCAGAGTCTCGCTCTGTTGCCCAGGCTAGAGTGCAATGGCGCGATCTCTGCTTACTGTAACCTCCACCTCCCAGCTCAAGCAATTCTGCCTCAGCCTCCTAAGTAGCTGAGACTACAGGTGCCTCCCACCATGCCCGGCTCATTTTTATATTTTTAGTAGAGATGAGGTTTCACCATGTTGGCCAGTCTGGTCTCGAACTCCTGACCTCAAGTGATCTGCCACCTCAGCCTCCCAGCGTGTTGGGGTTATAGGAGTGAGCCACCATGCCTGCCCTCATTGTTATTTTTAAAATTCTTGTCCTTCACTCATCAAATGTTTATTGGGCACCGTTTTCCTTTTATTCACGATGCTGGAATACACTTTCATTCACGCAGTTGAGCACTTTGCTAAGAGCACAGACTATGAAGTGCCAATGATAGGACTTAGCCTAGTTCTTCCCCTAGCTTGGCTGTATGACCTTGGGGGATGCCACTGAACCTAGAACAGGCCTGTGTCAGTCAATACCACTGTACTTACCTCACAGGGTGATTAGGAGGTTTAAATGAAGTAATGCGTGTAAGACACTTAGCACAGTGCCAGGCACTCAGGTAGCATTTATCCAGGGCCTGCCATATGCCAGGCACTAGACCAGGCCTAGGGGGTAGGGAGACTTGGATTTTAGCTTCATGGAGCTTGCAACGTACTGTGGGGAGAGGTACGTAATAGCAAAGCGATTAAGAAGGCTGGGTCTCAAATCCTGGCTCATCTATTTTCTAGATGTGCCACACTGAGCAAGTTCCTTCACCTTTAAGCCTCAGTTTCCTCATATGTACAATGGGAATAATGATGGCATCGTCAAATGGTTGTAAAGATTATGAAAGGCAGCAAAATGTAAAGTATCTGGCACAGTAAGTTCTGGGTAAATCTTGGCTGTTATCAAAACCAGCTATGACGCCCAAAGTAATAATCACACAAATAAGAAAGTAATGTGGAGAGTTGGTTTCAGGTGAGGGGGACAAAGGCAAAGAGGAAGAGAAGGGGCAGGCTCAGAAGGGCCTTGGCAATGGTTCCCTAGCTAGCATCCACCTGCTTTGGATTTAGCAACCCACCTGTCCCAGTCCCAGCCCAGGTGGGCCCTTGGCCAGCACTTAGCCTAGTGGATGAGACCCACGCCTGAGCTAATGAGCACATTGAGTTCCTCTGGTAACGCTGACTGGCTTGGAGAGTGGCAGCTGCTGCGTCACAGGGCAGTCAGAACCCCCAGATTCAGCAGGCCACTGTGAAGATGGGGTCTTCCCCTCCACCAGCTTTGTGGCCCTCGTACTGCCAGTCCTGCCAGCATTTGGGTTACTGTGTCTGAGACCCAAAGGTTCCATAGAGCTCTGTTTGGAACCGTGGGGACCCTGAGTCTGCACCAGGCCCACGGAATGCTTAGCCTGGGTTTTAGATGACAGCGATGCAAAGTGGGGGTAATGGTCAGCTCTGCCCACTGTCCACCTGGCCCATATAGTCCCCAGGGTGGGAAGGGGCCCTTGGCTGTGCCAGCTCCCTCCCACATCGACTGTGGAGGGAATGCTCCCAGGCTCCAGCCTCTTCTGGCTTCCAACGGAGTGGGCCCTCGTCCCCATCGTGGCACTGCCAGATTCCAGCCAATCCTCCCCCTCTCCCCAACACGTGCTCCTCTTCCAGATGCAGGCTCCCCCCACAATACTGTGGTCGAACAGGCACTGCAGCAGGGCTCCTCCCCACACCAGTGCTCCTCCTCCAAATCAATTATCCAGTCCAGTGGAACTCATCACCTAAGGGCTGGGAAAAGAGTTCCAGCCAAGGGGAATGGCAAAAGCAAAGCCCTGTGATGGGAACAAGTTGGATGAGTTAACCAACTAGCAACTTTGAACAGGCCAGAGTTCAGGAGAAAGCCAGGGCTGGACATGCAAATTTGGGAACTGTGGGCACTTGTAGGTACTTAAATCCCGAGGACTGGACGTGGTGGAAACCGAACAGAAGGCTTAGGACTGAGCCCTGGTGCTCCAGCATTAACAGGGCAGGAGGAGGAAGAGGGGCCTGTGGAGAAGGCCTGGCCATCATCTCTCCACATAGCGCTGCACTTTGCCAGACCCTCCGGGACCCTATCTGAAAGGAAAGGAGGGTCAAACACCAAGGAAGGGAATGGGGCAGGGCGAGGAGTGGTCTCAGCCCCAGTCCTTCCCCCGCCCTCGGAGTCCCCAGGGCCCTTTCCCAGGCTGGTGCGCTCCTGCCTCCCTATTCCCGGGCTCTAAATCGCCAGCAAGAGGCAGGAGTGGGAAAGAGTCAGAAGAGGTGGCAAACCCACACCGTCCCTTCGCCTCCTCTCTGACCGTCCACTCCCAAGGTGCCAGAGGCGCGGGTCCCGCAGCAGTCGGTGGCTCCCGCCGGGAGCATCCTCGTCTCCATGGAAACCGCGTCTGCATCCTGGCGCTTCCAGCCGCGCCGCGCAGGCTCCTGCGGGCGGTCTTCCTCCCCTCCGCAACCTGAGCACTGAGGCCTCGGGGAGGTTTTCTTCCTTTTGCTTTGCGCCTGCACCTTCTTTCTGCCTGTCTCTCTCTTTCGTTCTGTGTCTCCATTCCTTTCTCTTCTCCGCCCTTTTCATCTTTCTTCGCATTCCTCTCTCTCTCTCTCTGGCTTGTCTACTTTGAGCTCAAGTCTCAGTCTGGACCCCCGCCCCGCCCGCTTTCCCCTTTATTTAGATCTCTCAGCATTTAACATTCATTGAACTCCCTCCTCCTCTCTATTTCTTTTCTCCCTTTTCTCCGTTCTCTATATCTATCCCCTCACCTTATCCTCTCTTTTTGCCTCTCGCCTCATAGATCCCACAAACACATTCCTGCATGCCCACTATGTGCCAAGCACTGTGCAGTGTGCCGGGGACAGCAGGCTTGGTGTCTGTCTTCAGGGTGGAGGCATGTGGGGAGGAATACAGCCAACAAGTCAACACACAAAAAGAAAAGTTACACATGTCAAGGTGTGCTTCAAAGGAAAAAGACTAGCAGCTGCCACCCACAATAACAGGGGTACTCAGAGATGGCTGGGGCACTCACACTGCAGGGTTTCAGATGGTCACTGTGGGGCCCCAGAGGCCACTCTGGGAATGCGAATATCAGAAGTCAAACAAATGAAAAGCCAATTAGATGGGTTTCCTTGCACCTGGGGGAAAGATAGAAAGGGACCAGTAGAGATAGCCTAGACCAGGAAAGTGCCCAAGAAGGCCAATCATCAGGAGATAGAATGACTGCAGATAAGGCAGGGTTCAGCCTTCCCATTTGCTGGATGAGGAAACTGAGACCGAGGCTTTTGGATTCCAAGCTTAAGTCTCTTTTGGAATAATGAGCTGGCTGAAGAGCCAGCTGCTGCTAGGCACATACACAGGTGTAGGATGGCACAAGGTTTCTCAGCCTCAATACTTTTGACATTCAAGCTAGATGATTCTTCACGGTAGGGGCCAACCAACGCATTGTGGGATGCTTAGCTTCGTCCCTGGCCTCTACCCACCAGATGCCAGGGGTACCACCAACCCCAGTCATACTGATTAAAATATGTCAGTTGGGCATGGGTGGCTCATGCCTGTAGTCCAGCACTTTGGGGCAACATGGTGAAAATCTTTATCTACAAAAAAATACAAAAATTAGCTGGGCATGGTGGCATGCACTTGTAGTCCCAACTCCTCAGGAGGCTGAGGTGGGAGCCGGAAGATCAAGGCTGCAGTGAGCCAAGATTGCACCACTGCACTACAGCCTAGGTAACAGAGTGAGACACGGTCTTAAAAAAAAAAAGTCCCCAGTGTAGGGGATTATCCCTGACTCAAAACCACTGGTGTAGGGGCAGAGGCTCTAGGATGGGGTATCTCTATCCAGCTACCCCACAGTCCTACTGACTTTCTCTGCTCTGAGCAGCCAGGAGGTGTTATGACAAAATTAAGATGAACAATATTAATATTTGTAATATTGTGATAATATTGTTAAAAATAGTGTTGAGTGACCAGGCGCGATGGCTCATGCCTGTAATCCCAGCACTCTGGGAGGCCAAGGCAGGTAGATCACCTGAGGTCAGGAGTTCGAGACCAGCCTGGTCAACATGGTGAAACCCCATCTCTACCAAAAATACAAAAATTAGCTGGATGTGGTGGCGCATGCCTGTAATCCCAGCTACTCAGGAGGCTGAGGCAGGAGAATTGCTTGAATCCAGGAGGCGGAGGTTGCAGGGAGCCAAGATTGCACCACTGCACTCCAGCCTGGGTGACAGAGCAAGACTCCCTCTCAAAAATAAATAAATAAATAAATAAATAAATAAATAAATAAATAAATAAATAAAGTGTTGAGTGCTTAACTACGTGCCAGGGTGCTAAGCTCCTGACATTCATTATCTCATTTAATCCTATTATTAATTTTAAAAATTTGGCCAGGCGTGGTGGCTCATGCCTGTAATTCCAGCACTTTGGGAGGCCAAGGTGGGCGGATCACGAGGTCAGGAGATCGAGACCATCCTGGCTAACACAGTGAAACCCCATCTCTACTAAAAATACAAAAAAATTAGCCAGGCATGGTGGTGGACGCCTGTAGTCCCAGGTACTCGGGAGGCT